TCTTTATATGATATGGAAGTTTAGTAACAGGATTGGTCCAGAGGGAGTACTAAGCTGCTGAAACATTGTTTCTTTTAATCTTTAATAATTCAGATGAGTGGATCACTGTGAGGTTACAAAGAAATCATATTCCTTTTCATACCCCCCCATTACCGGGGTGTAGTGAAGGTTTCACCTTGTTGGTAAGTACCATGGCAGGACACCAGAGTGCACCAGCCAGATGGTGGATGCTTTATGGAGAGCTCTGACTCAGCTTTCCCTCCCCACATTCATGCACATCCTAATCCAGAACTTGAGACTGGATTAAATACTTGTCTGGATTTGTGGACAAGTGCTGCCCCAGTCCACCCTCAAAAGGAAACCAAGAGCAGGGGCAGAAGAAGCCCGAGGCAAACAGAGAGATCTCCATCACAGAAACGGGCTGTCACTTGGAATGTTGATTTTCCAGGCTGAATAGAGAACTCATAATTTAAAAGATTACCTTGCAGATGGTGATAAGGGCACCTTTTCTTCCTCTGCAGACAACACTTGTGCTGTGGCCCGTTATGGTGGGTGCTTTTATCAGTGATTTACAACAGAGCTGTCAAAAACTTTAAAAAGCTTCTATTAAATTGATGTGGATTTATCTATCTAAGACCTTTGAAATGTATAGAGGAACCGACTTTTGGCCTCCTTTTCTAATCAGAGTGTGCAGCTGCACACGGGGCAGTCAGCTCCCCAGCCTTCTAGGAAGGCAAGCATTTGATTTGTGGCCCAGATCTGAGAATCCCTGGAGAGCTGTCTGGAGAGCAGAGCTTGTGGATGTTTGGAAACCATCCCTCATGTCATTTATGGGGTAGCCTGGAACTGGGAGCACAAGCCCCCCGCTTCTGCTGCCCTGCAGCACTTACATGTGTGGATTTGATTGCAGTGTTTCCAAATGTGGCCAAATATTTAAAACTGAAATGTAGTAAAAACTGTGCCATCTTTCATTTCATTGGCACCGAAGTTGTTATCTACTGTGGGAGTTTTAATGCTTTGCTTTTGTTGTCTCTTAATATAATTTCTATGTATGAAACTGAAACTTTTTGGAATCCAGCTGGGCATTTGCAGCTGATGTATTGATTCCTGCCAGGAAAGCCATGTTAGCTGAAATGAGCTGGAAGCAGCAGCTTTGAAGCTTGAGATGGGGAGAGCCCCAGGAGATCCGTGTTACTGCCTACCAGGTAGCCAGAATAAAAGCCATTAAAATAGTTTGGACATTTCCTCCCTATTTCCATTGCCCACTTGGTTTTTTATCCTTCCCTTTAGCACCACTTTTTGGATAACTGCTCCTCCTTTCCCTTGGCTGTAATCACATTGCTGTGGTACAAAATTGTCAGTTGTAGCAAAGTTGCACATGGTTGGCCCTGCTCAGCCCTGACCCAGAGATGGGATTGCAGCTGAGATGCTCTTTCAAGGCAAAAGGGCAGATCCTGCTCACTGAGTTTATTCTTAGTGCCCAACCACAATCTTAGGAGTTGTGATGTATCACAGCAAGTTCCTTCTTCTGAGCAAAGTTGGATTAGTTTTACTCTTTTGAGGATTGTTGCAGTAATGCAGATGGTTTGGGTAAATTTTAGGGGGGGAATTGGACATTTGCTGCTCAGAATTCCCACAGCAATTCCATTTGGATGTAGGATTGGTGGGTTTTTTCTCTGGTGTAAAGGCAAACAGTGACAAGAGCAGCTCAATGCAGGAATGGAAGCACTTGTGCTTTGCAGCACTTCACTGGTTAAAGCAGAGAAGTTGATGTCTGAAAATGCCCTAAAGGCAGGCAGGGAAATTCTGCTCCTAGGTAGAAACCAAACATGAGACAAAGAGCATAACCTGCAAAACAAAGCCAGGGTCTGTACCAGTCTGTGTGCCAGCTGGGGGAACTGGGAATGCTGCCCTTCTGGAGCATCTAGACAGGTCAAAATACTGGCATGAGAACATCAGAAAGTGAGACCAGAGCAATCATTTGCTAAAGGAACGAGTGCTCAGGGTGATAATCTTCAGTCCAAAGTAATGTTTGAACTCAGGCAGACTCTTGGCCACTTGGCCACTTCCTTTGAAGTGGACTCTTGACCAGTACCAGACTCAGCAAAGAGTGAGGCTGAAGGGTGATGGTCCCCAAGCCAGGCAGGTGAAGCACACAGAGATAAATGTGCTGTGTCAGTCAGTGTGAGCTGGGGCATCAAAGAGAAAAATGGTACAAAAGCAGTCAGTTACCCACCTAAGTGTCACCAGAGTAGGTTTTTCAACCAGAGGGAGCAATGACAGCAGTGCTCAGGTACTGCTTCCAGAGAAAAGGAGGCGGCAGTACTTGAGCAGGAGATGAATGAGGTTTTAGCTTCAACACACAGGGGACAACTGTTACATCTCAGCTGAATGCTCCTGAATGTTACTGTTGTGCTTCCAGAGGCACCTGGATTCATTTCAAAAGAATAAACGTTAAAAGTAAAATTTCAGGTCACTGCAAGAACAGGTTATCCCTGTGAAAGGAAGAAGGGTGTTAATGGCTAAGTGGGAAAGAGAAAATGTGAAAGAATAGAGGCAAAAGAGTATCTGTGACTAGGTTCAGTTTGAAAAGTATCTGTGAGTAGGCTCTGTGTCAAAACTCTTGCTCATGATAAAAAAAGTGCCTGTACTGGTGGAACATGTACTGGAATTGTCAAGGGGGAAACTGAGAATATCTTCAGTGGTGTAAGTGCCCTGTTGATTAGGGAAGGAGTTCAGTACCTGGCAGTTCATGTCCCTGGGAGTTTCCCCTTCTCCAAAGGCATGGCTTGAAAGTGAGAGAACCAAGAGAATGAATGTGACCCTTAGGGAACCCAAGGGAACTCTTGCCCTCCAAAAGGAGGTTAATATATGTTTATACATATATATTTATGTATATGCCTAAAGGAAACATCTTCTATAACCAGAAAATACAAGTGTTTAGGATTGGATAAAAAAGAAACCAAGTGGGTTTAGGTTAGAAGGCGTGTGGCAAGTGCCCATAAAAATGTCAGCTACAATTTTGCCCATTGCTGAGAAACAAAATTACAAACTTTCCCAGTAGTGTAGATTATTACTGCCAGAGAGAAGGGTCACAATAAGAACATGCACTGTTAGTAAACAGTGTCCAAACCAGCAAGCCAGGAGTTGCTATTGGTAAAGCTGAGGAGAGGGTTTGTGTTAAACAACTCCCACTACACCCTCAGTGATAATACTTAAAGTGTTGCTTGGAAAACTGCTTATTTATTTTAAAGTAAATATCAGAGAAGGTCGAAAATACTTTATTAAAGGCTCGGATGAACTGTAGGATGCAGAAAGTTTTCCAAAGCGCTGACAGGACATCATTAAGCCTGCAGTCCATGCAGCTGCTGCTCCTGCTACGTCAGTAAATGCCAAGAGCAGCCGTGTAAGGGCAGTTCAGTACTGAGTAATTCATAAATCGGTTGTACTTGTGCAGATTAGTTGGTTTTGTGTCTAGCAGTGGGAGCCAAATGGTTTCCAAGAGCTTCCCTGAGCGCCTGGCTGGCGGCAGAGCGTGTGCCAGATCCCTGCAGGCACCAGGAGCTGGTGACTCAAAAGCAAAGCTGGGGGTTGTTCCACTCCTGCTCCTTGGAGGTGCCAGAACTTTGCTTCCCACAGGAGCACTGATGAGCTATTGCTATGCTAGAAATTTTCCAGACCAGTCTTCCTGCAACAACGAGCCTGAGAACAATCCACTGTGGGCTGTTCCCAATCTTTTAATCGATCTCCCCTGTCTGAGTGAACAAAGGCCCAGCCTGACACAGACAGGTGAGGGCAGCACATCTGAATAGCCTGACACAAAGTAAAATGACTGCAGCCCTATCTCTCTTTGTCAAATGGGTGAGTGGTGTTAAACAGGCAGTAAACCTGCCTGGGCTGTGGCAGCATTGAACTCCAGGGCTTTGTGAGCTGCCTGAGGAGGGAAAAAAAATTAAAAAAATAAAAGCAGATGCATTTGAATGCCTTGCAGGCTCTTTGAGCCTGAAATAGTAAGCTAGAAATAACAAGATTGCTATTATATATCATAATGGCCAAAAGCCTAGCAGGAATCGAAAAGGATTAACATTTCAGAGAGTTGGAAAGAATATGAAGAGTTGTTGTTGTTTCTTAAAACAAAAGTGGATTGAGAGAGCTATAAAGCCACTTCCTCAGTGTTTAAACCAGCCTTCTGGGGGGAAGGGTAGGAGGAGACTTGCCATTGGGAAGGGAACTGTATATCCCAGGATATCCCAAAAACAGATCATAGAATGGTTTGGGTTGGAAGGGACCTTAAAGACCATCTCATTTCAACCCCCTGCCATGGGCAGGGACACCTTCCACTAGCCCAGGTTGCTCCAAGCCCTGTCCAACCTGGCCTGGAACCCTTCCAGGGATGGGGCAGCCACAGCTTCTCTGGGCAACCTGTGCCAGGGCCTCCCCACCCAGATGTGGGGGAGGGCCCATATGTGGACATGGAGATATGAGGGAGGGCTAAAAAAGGGGATGTTCTTAGAAGATGTGAGAGTGTTTTTGATCTAAACTGGTTCTCACACCCTGAAACTGTTTCCAGAGGGATCTGACACCATGAATGCTCTCCTCTACTTCAGTCACCCAAGCAAACAGTTCATGGTTCAGCTTGGTGGCTGAAGGGGAAAGTATCTGCTTTCCAATACTCAGCACACTAAAAACTCATTCCAGACTGGATATTTTATAAGTTACTCCTTTTCCTAAAGAGTGACATGACTGAAATCCACTCTGACTTTCACCAGGGTGTATCTTGATTAATTCTACTGAACCAGCAGAGCACGTGGGCAGCACTTTGCCCAAACAGTGACTTCCAGTGGGCACTGTTGCTGGAGTGCCAAGAGAGCTGTGTTTGCTGAGATGCCTTAGCTGTGTGTTTCTTACTTGGCTTTACTCTTTTTCCTTTTATTGTTGGAAACATTCTCAATATTTAAGGCTCTTGGGGCTCTAATCTCACCCTCCTCTCTCCCCTCTAGTGTTTATCAGCTTGTTGTCAAGGAGGAGAAGCTGCAGAAAGCGAGGAGAGCTGCAGACATCATCGAGTGCTTCTCTGTCCCAGTGAGCTACAAGAATGCCTCCAGCCTGGACTCCCCACACTACTTTGCAGCTGAGCTGAAGCCCATCAACCTCCCTGTCACACAGCCCTTCACCGTGGGCGACAACAAGACCTACAATGGCTACTGGAACGCTCCACTTTCTCCCCTGAAAAGCTACAGCATATACTTCCAGGCACTTAGCAAGGCCAATGGAGTAAGTGCAGAGAAAACTGAGCTGGGTTTGTACATGTGACCACCTCTGTCTGTCCTGCTCATCATTCTCCTTCCTTCTCGATCGGATGCCAATTTAACTTTTCCTTCTTACTACCTTCTTACAGAAATCTGATGAAAATCAAGCAGGCCATTACTTGTCCTTCACTCAGTACCCTCTCTGATGCTTAGATCCAGTGAGAAATCTGCTGAGGAGCCTGACTCTGTAAAAATTGCCACGTGATTTACTAAATGAGTTGCTTAGAATTTGGATCCTATTTTTATCTTTCCATGGGCACCAATGTCAGAGTAGGGGCCATTGTGCTTTTAAAAGACATAACTGCAATATTTTGATAGTCTCCAGTTCACAGTGCTTGTGATTTTGGAGGAGTTGTTATGAATTTGTTACCTTTCAGCTTGCACCTATGATATGAATCATAATGCAACTTGTGGTTGGGAGTTTCAGCTCCATTGACTGGTAGTGCAGTGGGGACCATGTGTGTGTCTGTCTGACTCCTCCTGAATACCCTGGGCTATATTTCTGCCTATATTTACCCTGTGATACTTGGTTTAAAATGGAGACTGCCCAGGAAATGTCTGTCCTACTCTCAGACTCAAATGACATGCTCATAATGCCACAACAGATCACATTTCCACCACAGGAAGAGGAGAGGCTTCTTTTTGCTCTTCCAGTCAAGGATAGGAACCCTCTAACCTTCCAACCCTCCTGTTTCAGGTCAGTTCAGCTACCAGTGTACAGGCCAGATGCAGCCTAAGCAGTCATCCACCTTCCTCCCCTTTGATCCCTGAATTGTTTTTCATCATCACACAACACGATACAATTTGCCACTCTGGCCTCGGGAAAAGTCTTGGAGCATTATCATGGCATCATCAATTTGGGTGGCAGAGTGTGTTATTAGCATGTTTTCCAATGCTTTCAGGAGCCTTACTTTAGCACAGGTAAATTCTCTAAGACACCACCTCTGAAAGAGCAACATTAGAAAAACAGTCAAAGGTGAATAGGGCAGGCTTTGGTCTCCACTTGGGGCAGTGTCTTTGACACCCAAAACACAGAGGACTGTGCATGGCTAACAGCTGGCAGTGCCAGGGAGTGTTCACAGCACATCTTTGTGCTTCACTACCTTCCTTTATCACCATTCTCCTGCACAGCTTCACCTGTGTGCCTGACAGGTACAAAATCTCTTCAGCACTGTGCTGATTTTCACCTTGGTTTCCTTTGTATCAATACAAGTTTCCTTCCAGCACTCCTCAATTAATTCAGTTTTGGATTTGCCTTTCTAAAGGAAATGGTGAAATACATCTACGTGTCTGTTCCTGGTTAGTTTTCCCCCATGTGTGATAGTTAATTGCCAGTGAATGGATCCCCAGGGAAGAAGAAACTTTTATTTGCTTAAGTACAATGTAATATTCCACAAATGGTTGTATGAATGGAAACGTAGGCTTCCCTTGGCATTCTGGATTAAGGCAGCACTAATGGGGGGGTTCCTGCTTTTCCTGCATCTCTGTAGCTGGCAGGTTGCAGCCCACCCTACATATCAGGTGCTAAGGACTCCAAAAAGGATGATAATAGGAACAGGACTATAAAGGGCTTTTAAAGCATAAGTTAATCAAAATAGTCTTTATGCAACAACACACAGTTTGTGACAGGATAAGAGGTATCCTGCCAAACACAGTAAATTCCTATTTGAGAAAGGCAATTTCCTCCTCTATTAATAATTTATATTTCTACAGTATGTGCTTATATATCCTCAAAGTGCAGTGCTATGGCTAAAAGTATAGGGGTATTTGCAAGACTGGAATGTGGATCTTCAGAGGAGCAGCTGTGATCCTTTTTGTTTCATGGTATAATCATGAAACCCCACATTTCAGACGTTAGGGTCAATTTGCATCCAGACTTTTGCAGCTGTAAATAGTAAGTTTTGTTTCACTCCCAGAATTTTTTACCTGTGTCATTTGTGTTTAAGAGTTCTGGGTTTTCACTTACATCTATAACCTGAGCAGGTTATAAGACCAATGGTCTTCAAAAAGCCTCCTGAGAATTAAGGCTGCAACGTGGCATTTCCATCCCTGGAAGTGTTCAAGGCAAGGCTGGATGGGGCTTGGAGCAACCTGGTCTCATGGAAGGTGTCCCTGTCTATGGCAGGGGGTTGGAACGAGATGGGATTTAAGGTCCCTTCCAACCCAAACCATTCTGTGATTTTTGATAATGCACATCTGCAAAAAATCTGAAACAATAGCAGTTCAGCACAGTTAAAGCAGAGCCTTATGTTCCCTTACACATGAAAACCTTAGCAGAACGTTGCCACTCCTTTTTTAATTAGGATATTCCATAGTTTCATTAATCACTGACAGTTGTGGAACGATGACATTTCTTTCCACCCCTGGAACCTGCAATGAGAAGCCTTCGTGCAGTGAACCAGAACATCTTCCTTTGGAATTGTGGGACTCTGGGGAGAGCTTAATTTGAAGAAACAGTATGTATTTGGTCAAAAAGCTTGATTGGGAGGAGGTTAGGAGTGTTACAGGAGTTCTGCATTGTTCCAGCTCCTCTGTACGTCGAGGGCTGTGCTCATTTGGTGTTCCCGTCTGCTCTGCAGCCATTAGCTGGGATTGTTACACTGAAAGGAACGTAATTAACAGCTGGATGCAAAACAAGTGTGGCAAATTGCTGCAGAAGCAGATCACGAGCTTTTCTGCCTCCTCTTGCGCAATGTTTTGCTTGTTTGAGAGTTTGAACGAGATGGCTGTCGCTGGTGGGGAGTTGGGTGCAGTTTGGTCGATGTGGTGCTGCCTCCAGACAGGGGACTGAGCAGAACATTGTGTGAGACAGAATGGTTGTCAGCTTTGTTAGGCAAACCACTTCCAAATTGCGTGAACCTCCCTCCTAGGGGCTGTTGAAAGCCAGATGCTGAGCTGAAATGTGTCAGAGTTAGAAGTAAAAGCAGGGGAAAAAGAGAAAAGGGCCGCAGAAAGTGCAGGCTGTGAAGCTGTGGGGGTGAGATGCACCGTTAGTTACTGCTCAGTTGTTAGGAGTGAGCACAAGGGGTGGCACAAGGCTGGGCTCTGCTCTGGCACGATCCCCACACACGCTGGGTGCCATCCAGGTAGTTATCTGCTGTTTGCTGGTTGTCCTGGTGCCACAGACGGCTGCCTGACAGAGCACGAAGGTTTCCTCCTCTGAAAAGCCTCCCTGAGCTCAGCCCCTTCAAAACACCAGCCCTGCCAGTGTTTATCCCTCTGAAAGGTGAGGCCAGGTTGGCAACACTGTGTTACTCCTTATCCTTTCTTATCCTTATACTGCCTTAATAATCCAAGTGAGACGTTGCAGGTTTTACTGTCCCCAGGTTCTTTATCTGGGTCACTGCAGGTGACAGTCTCTGGCTACTGATCCAGCAACATGCTCAGATGGGGGGAATTTTTGGCTGCTGTGTGAAGCCTGCCTGAATTTTTGAGCAGCTCAGAAACCAGAGCTCCCTAAAAATCCTTCCTGAAGTTGCATTTCAGCTCCCTGAGTTAAAATGGAATCTGTGACAGCCCAGTTGCAATCAATAACTCTTGGCTGTTTCTCCTCTAACTGGGAGATGAGCAGGAGCCTGTGGAACACAGCTGGGATGATGTGGGAGGTGCTGCCAGCTGCTGCTCCAGCCTGGTGGTCCAACAGGTGACTGATGTTTCAGCCCAGAACTGTGAAAAGTAGCACTGCAGGAATCAATGAGAATATTATTTTTTGAGGGAATGATGGACTCCACAGAGATCCTGATTGATTTTTTTGCCTCTCTAATGACTTGTACTACATGCACAGCCGGGCGGCTCATTATTATCAGGGGACTTCAGGCTGGATTTCTGGATGCTGACAGGTCTACTCACAGTACACAACATTCTTCTTCTGGGACATTTCGGAGGTGTGGATAGAGCTGCCAGCAGAGAGGTGGCATTTATCCCTGTGGAGATGGCCAGGGAAAAAACAGGGAGGTACTTCAGCACAAGCCCTGCTCTGAAAAATGAAATGCCTGCATTGCTTCTGTGAGGTATTAACCAGCTCTGAGGAGCTCTGTGTTCAGTAGATTTTGGGTGTACAGTTTGTCCACTTACCTTTACTCCTTTTCATTCTCATATTGGAGCTGCTGGGGCAGAACTAAAGCAGCTGTGAAAACACTTTAGTCCCTGTAAGCCCCTGTTTCCACATCTGGTTGACCAGAGTATGTGGACCTGAGTGTTTTCTGGATGTAAATAAAATCCTCCAACCCTACCTCACATTTGAGAAGTTGAGAGGAGTGGGATATCCAAGATCATCTCTAGATCATGGAAATAACTTCCTATTGGAAATAATGAAAGCCCTAAGCACTTTGTTAAACCTCCTTTCTCCAAATGACAGAGATAATAAAAATAGCTGATAATTGAAACTAGGTTTTGCTTCGACTCTGGGAGGAACTTGCAGTTTCCTAGAGCTGGCAATAGGAATTACAGGGGAGTCCATTGATTCTGCACAGACTTAATGCACATGATTTATTTCAAGGCAGCAAACCACTGGATTCAGTGGGATAAAATAGAAACACACAATCTAGAGCTCCCCGATTTGCTGAGGACCTCAAAACCGATTCTTCAAGATGTCCATTGGACAAAACCATGGTTTCTATCCTGTGGGAATCATGTTGCCAGCAAGGATGGTCCATGTGTAGCTCTGGGATGCAGGGAACTACAGCTGAAACTGAGGCCAAGTGGAAGAGTGATAATTACTTGTCTGGTCCGTGCACCAGCAGCACTTAAAATTGCCTGTGCCCAGTTTGAGCTGCCTGATGAAGCTGTGCCTGTTGTAGGGCAGCCCCAGTGGTGCTTCTGGGGACAGCAGGTCCCACTGGTGCTGGCAGGTGGCTCTTCACTGGTTAACTGCTGTAAAGTCATAATAATAGTAAAGGAAAGGGAAAATGGTGGGTGTGAAAACAGATGGATGAAAAAGCTTTGCTGCTTTTATTGTTGTTGGTAGTCTGTAAAAACAGCAAGCTGTCAGTTTAAAAGAGAAGGGGGGAAAAAAAATTCCTGTGCCCTTTTAGGTTGTGAAGACGCAGCTGTCACATAAACATATGTCCTGCTGCCCTCAGAGCCCTTTCCTGCAGAAAATTGTTCCCATCCAAACATTGAAGAGACAGAGGCAGAACTTGTCTTGTTACCATCCCTTTCCCTTCAGTGAAATGTGCATTTAGGAACCTCAGTAACTGGTGGACAGCAGCAGCTCCTTTGCTTCTAAAAAGGAAGAAACAAGCTATATTAAAAGAAGGTTTAAAAAAAGCCCTGAAAATCCAGGGGGATGCTAAAACAGGCTCATGATGTGCAGCTTCAAGGCTGTGTTGGCAGAGAGGGCTTGCCCAGCTCCCCAGCACAGCCTGGGTGCTCTCCAGAGGGTTCCCAGGTCATGCTGATGGCAGGTCCTGGTCTTCCCTCCAGGAACAGGCTCAAACACAGACTCCAAAACACAGGCCTCATATTGTGTGGACTTAAAAATATAGCCAGGGTTCAGCCTTGAGCGAGGGTAAACCATAACCATCTTTTATTCATGTGGGAGGAAGTTCCAGAAAACAAATTGACACAAGTATGTTCCAGTAAACAAGGGGATGGGCTTATTACACACTAAAGCTTTCTGGATATGGAGCATGTTGGAAAATGAAGGTTGGATCAAGAGCTGTAGGATGTATTCATGAAGTGTTTTCCTGTTCCAGGATCTCAGTTAAAAATATGCCTGCATTGTTCTATTGCTGTTTGGATATAAAATCTCTGCCTTAACCTGGCAGAGATATAGAGCCAAAGTAGTAGTGCTACTGGCATCTTAATTTAAATTATTCCTGTGACTTCAGCCATAATATGAAATGGATAAGCTGAATATGCAGGATCTCAGGTCATCTCTAATATTGTTGTAGACTTACAAGGCCTTGTAAAACTTCTGTGATATCATAAAATGGGAATTGAGTATCACAGCATTTGAAAGAATCTTCAGAAGCAACACAGAGACTGAAATTTTTGGGGAAATTTGGTTTGTTTTTCTAAAACTTCTATTATTAGCCCTTTATTTAATTATTTTTCTGGTCATTGCTTTAAGCAGTCTGGATGGATTATTGAGAATTACCTGCATTGTTTACTCCTGTTTTGCTAGTGGCTAAAGAGAAGCATCTTATTTTACTGTGTACAGGAAAGCGCCTTGTCTGAAGCAAAAGTAATATTTTTCAGAAAACAAACATGATTGTGAGACGGTGGTTTTGCTGGGTTTTTTTGGGGGGAAAAAAGTGTATTTATTTATTCTGTTTCCTGGCAGAAAAGTTCATGCAAACTTACAATTCTCAGCCCCAAGCAAAGAAAAATAGAGTAAATTTAAAGAGATTTTATTTTTATGAGACACCAAAGAGATGAGCAGTGGGGTGATCACTGAAAGGATTAATGGCAATCAATGGAATAATCAGCCCTAGTCAGGAATGTGGACTAAGTTCAAGTTTTAACCTTTAGCACCCCAGGAGCTGAGTGCCTGGTGTCTGTGTGGGTTCTTTTATATTTTCCTTCCCAGAAGATGCAATTTGAAATGAAGCCCTGAAATCCAGATGTCTGGTTCCTCCAATGAGTGCTTGCCCTTGCTTTTGGCAGTGCCAGGTCATGGTCTCCTGAGAGCTGTGCTTGTCTGTGCTAAATGCAGCCAGGGGTGGATGCAGCTGCAAACAGCCCAGCCTGCATCCTGTCATCCCAGCTCACCCCCGGGAGGTGTCCTGCAGGAACTCACACATTCTCAAACGACATCAGTTCCAGCACCACTTAGAAGACCTTGGTTTTTTAGTTTTCTCCACTTTTCTCAGCATTGACTAACTTCTCCACCTTTCTGTTCCACTTTGAAGCCAGCAGAAAGCAACAAATACACGAGAAAATTTTCTTCAACAAAACGTGAGCAAGTGCCCACCTATTTGTATGCTGCAAAAATGCTGTCTGGATCTTTTGTATTTTGCCTTTCATCAGTGATTTTCCAGGTCACCTTGTTGTAGATCAGAAGCTACCTCAGGATCTCTGTGTCTTACAATTCCCAGCATTATGTGTGGAGAGTGTGCTCTGAAAACAAAGCTTGCTTTTCCTGCTTCACAGATCACCACTTGCAATAAAGACTTTGAATTTCCAGAATAAATGGCCATTCAAACTGATTGTACAGGAGGCAGAGAGGAATGGGGAGCTCTGTGTAAAGCTCTGGTGACTTTGCAGGGCCAATGGTTGCGTAGGGAAGTTGATTTTTGAGGGAGAGAGGGCTCAGTGCACCAAAGAGAGATGTCTCTGGTTTACTGGGATAACAGTGATTGAGTCCCACTCTGGACCCAGCTGTATGGCTGGGAAAGGATGTCCTTAGTAGACAAGGATTGTCCTTGGAGATCCAGGAATTCCTAAAGAGAGTTTGAGGGCAAGATCAAGGGGAGACTTTGTTATTCTGGATATCTTGTTGTTTCTAGACTACACACAGCTTATATCCAGATAGTGTGGCTGGCTGGTATCTTGAGGCATCACAGAAAGGGATCAGAGGGAATTGCTCTTGTGATTCCCACTGTTTCCCAGCATGGATCCTGCAATCCCCTTCCTCTGTGCAATGTAAGTGTGAGGAGAAAGGCACGATGGGGCTGTGTGTGTGTCTGCTCTGGCCAGGGTCAATCTGTCACAGATGGAAAGATTTTCTCCAAGAGCCAATTCAGACTTTCCCAGGGTTTGTGCAGTTGTTTGAGGATGGAAGGAGGTGCTCAGCAGTGCATTGCTGGGCTGTTGTTTCCAGAGCACACACAGCATCCATATGAATGCAGCTTTGTTACCCACAGTAATTTATGCAGCCTTCATTACACCTGAGACTTGTACAAGAGCGTGTCCAGGCAGAAAGTGCTCCAAACCCCTGCAACTGCCAGGTCTTTAACCAAAGCAACACATTCCCATTTGGATGCAAACTGTGTGTTGGACAACAGCAACCCCTGCCAAGAAGGGCTGTGGAATGAGGAGCTGGGGATACCAGGAAGGATGTGTTTGCAGTGGAGGTGACCTGTTTGAGCTGGTAGTGAAGCCAAACACAACATCGCTGCTCCCGTCCAAACTCCTGTTCCTGCGGCCCTGCAGAGTCCAAGGTGGACTGAACACAAAGGGTTGGGTTTTATCCCAGCTCTGCAAGGAAGAGCTGCAGTGGAGAGGGTTGTCAGAGCAGCTCCTTTGGCAGAGGCAGCTGTACAGCAGTGCTGGGCTTCACATCCACAGAGCTGGGATATTCAAATGACTGCCTCGGTGTCTGTTTGCCATGTGTTTAAACAAATACCCAATTTGCGAAATTTGCAGTAATGGTGCATGAAAATTAGATGTACAGTTGCATGTACTTTTGACCCAGAGCTTGTCAGTCTATTACAGAGCAGGCCATTTAACTGGTAGATTCTATTAGCTAATCAGGCAGTTACGTGGGACCCATCACTCACACCCTGAGCGTGGAGAAACGTGTTGTCACTCTCAGCTTCCCAACATTTAGAACACTCTCAGCTGGAGGCAAGTCCAATAGTGTGGAGTGTTTTCTGCAATCAAAACTTGGTGGGTTTTTTTTCAAAGATGAAGCGTAAGAAAAAAATGCATATTTTTTTTTTAGTACCTTTTTAAAGGAATGTGTGTTTATTGTAGATGGGCAAATTACACACCTTGATGTTTTCCTATATGTGTTTTTTTTCTGCTTTTATTTTTCAGGAAACAAAAATCAACTGTGTCCGCCTGGCAACAAAAGGTATGTTGGGTCTCTCTTTCCTGCAAAGCACAATGCCAGTAATGTTAAAACTGCAGTGGTGGCACAACTTGATTACAGTTACTATCCAAAGAACCAGCCTCTTTATTTCTTCTTTTATTTTTTTTTTTCTTTTAAGGAAGATTACAGAGGCAGAACAACAATTTCCAGAATCACTCCACTGTGTTTGTGACCTCTGTTGTTTTTTTAACCCGTGGTATTTTTTTCTGTGGTTCCTCCTTTCCCTTGTTCTGTCAGCAGCTTTTCTGTCCTTAGGACTGTTCTTGCTGTTGGCAGAACATCACTGGAAAAGTGACATTAAGTTCCTATTAAATTTGTTCTCTCTGCAACTGTACAAAGCAGATAAGAGGAGATCCCCCATAAGCCTCACCTTGAACACACCAGGGCACAATTCTTACATCACACCATTTTCATGGTATAATTCAACAGACTGGTAGAGTGCATTGCTTATTTTCATTGTGGTTGGCTCAGAATAGCCCAAACTGGCCCAAACTGAGCAAACCCAAGACAAATAGCCCCAGGCTGGTTCACAAGGTGTAGCTCTTGAGGGAGCAACAGTGACAATGTCTGAGTTCCTTCTAGGAGCTCACAGTTGCTTTTAACAACTCCTGTGAAGATTTCAGAACCACCCCAGGGGCTACTTTGCCAGAAAATATGTCAGAAACCAATTTACTTGTAACACAGAGGAATAGCTGTAAAAAGATCTCCCCCAACACATGTTGTAGTCTCAAAACGAGCTGTAAGGAAATGCTGGAGTAATTGCCATGGGCTCTGCTACAAGTGACTCTCCAGTTCCAAAATATAGGGTTGCCAGCTTGTGCTCCTGCTGCCTTGCTGGAATGTCAAACACCTGCATTGCTGCCTGTGGAGGCTTTTGACAGTTCACCAAAATTGGCAGGCACCCAGAAGTCCTTTGAGGCACCATCCCATTTTTTCCATTCCTTTCACTCCTTGTGGCAGAGGTTGATGACTCCAAGGCGCTTTCTGCCGATCCCTTCTGCACCTGCACTTGCAGAGGAGTTGGGAGGGCTCAAAGAAGCCCCATCTATCATTTTGTTGGATAGCAGAAAAGGGCTTTTTCCATCTTCCTATGGAGACATGCCAGGCTGTCCCAGGAAGCTGTGCCCTGGGATGGCAGGTGCAGCTGTTTTCCCTGCTGAGACCCGATACACAAACTGGTGGGGCTGTAAGAAGTTGTGTCACCACTGAAACACAAGGAGGATGAGCCATTTCTCCCCTTTCTCCTTCTCATCTGTGGCTCTGGTGCTCCCCATATCCTCTTGTTCCTTTCCTTTTTAAAAGTTCCCTGTAAAATCTTTATTTAATTCATTCTCTGGGTTACAAACATTCTATGTGTCTCAGTCTATGTGTCTCCTTCCTCTCAGTTTTTCCAGCTGGTAGTGATGTGACCATTTCAAATACTTGATTTTGGCTTTCTGGTGGTAGAAAGGGCAAGAGCAGGACTGAGTAAGACAAGAATGGGTGAAATGTGGCTCCACAAGGTTTTGCAAAAGCATGACTAGAAGCCTTCTAATGAGATCAGATTAATTACTGGATTAATTAATTTTTGGAAACCTGTAGTTCTTCCTACTTCAGTCATTTATTTTTCTGGAGCTGGTGGAAGAATGGTGTCATGCTGTCAGGAAAGATATTTGCTCTGTGACTATTCAAAGGGAAATAAAAACTTACATAGCTTAGAAAATCCATTCTGGGTCTTCAGTTTGCACTGTCTGATTTGGGTACCTCAGAAAAGTGTCACAAAGGTGTTTGACCTTCCACTGACTTCTGCAAACTGATTTAATTTTCATTAACCTGTTAGGTCACCAGGAAGAGTCAATAAGCCACCCTCCTTCTGTTGTTTCTGAATGCTGTATCTTTTTTTTAAAAATGATCTCTTGCTAATATTCATTTAATAAGAGATACAAAAGAGATGGGTAGAGCCTGAGGATGTCTAGAGAGCCACTGCTTTTTGGTGATATTATTCTTGAGGATTTTTCTTTGTTGACATGAATGGAAAAGGACAAGAAATGATGGTAGTTCTAGTGTTCATTGTCGCTGTCTCAATTCATATCACTTTTGATTTATGGGCAGATATCTTATTCTTCCTGTACGTGGAGTGCAGAAATCTCTGTGGAAATTCCCTTTCTTTTCCTCTTGTCCTCGCTCTGAATTTCAATGCTGTGATTCTCAGAGCTTGACCATTAGCATGGACACTGGAATATCCAGCTGGGGCTGATATTATGCAGTTTGAGCTCTTCAGGGGTGCAATGCTGGTTGCAGCTCACAACCAAGGCAGAGTCACGAGTGAATCTGTGGTGTTGGTAACACAGCAGTCCCTGCCATTGCTGGCACCTGGGCAGTGTCAGCAGCTGAGCAATAGCTGAACAATGTGGTTCAGAGCTTTCCCATAGTTTCAGATTTCCCTGTGTCATGAGGCTGAATTCCCACCACACATTAACTCCATATGAACAGAAGGACTCGGGCGCTGCCCGGCCCGGCCCCTGAAAGAGGAGGGTTGTATCTGCCCTCTCTCTGCTGTGTGGCAGTGCACAGACACCCTCAAAACAGTAATTACCTTGTGTCCTGATCAAAGTCTGATATCTGGGATGTTCTAGATGCCCTACTGTGTCTGTGCTGTCTTCTGGCTGCTCATTATATTGATTATCCTTAATGGCATTGCCCTGTATTCACCTTTATTTGCACTGCTGTCTTGCTGAGGATACAATGAGCAAACCTGTAGTCTGCCTTGAACAAAACCAATAGAGCTGCTAGTGAGGATACCACTGTGGTCTCTCTGTAGGAATCTGAAAAAAAAACAAACACAACCTTTTTTGGAGTCAGGATTAATCATGGCATTGACAGCTCTTAAAAGCTCTGCTTTGAGTTGGTACCAGAGAAAAAAGCATATTTTGTTTTGATGCAAGAAAATAAATACATACTGCTGGTGCCAGACTAAATGTTCATTTGGGATCTAGGCCTAATTTTTCCATTCCTAGACTCTTGACACTGCAGCAGCTCCATTAACACTAGTGAAATGAGTCCTGATTTACACCAGTGACAGGAAGATTAGGATCGAGACGTGTTTAAGCAAGGCAAGTATTCTCTTGAAGTGCTGGATTAACAAGGGCACTAAACGTGAGTGTGGGAGTAATTAGGCAGTGAAATGTGTTAGGCATGTGTTACTGGGGGATTATAACACATCTTGGGTGTTGCTGCAAGGCACCTGTTCAGAAGCTGAGTCGCTTTAATTACTGGAGAGACCCACGAGGCTGTTCCGCTGCCGCTCCTCCAGCAGCCTGGGAGCCAATTTGCTTTGTGTGTCCCATTGCCTCAACACCAAGGAAATGAAAGCAGAGAACTCTTTTTAAAGAGTTTTAGTCCATTACAGAAAGTTTTGGAGGTTTCCCAGTTTTCTTTTCTCTTTTAGCAAGAAATAGGCCGTTCAGATCGACCCCTTTCCAGTTCAGCCCAGCTCCACACAGGAGCTGCTTCCCAGCTCTCTGGGGCTTCACCCTTTGCATGGTTCCCTGTGTGCTGCTTCTGGTTAGATGAATGTGGTTCTTGTGGTAGCAAGAAAAAGCTCTCAGATCTTTCTGTTTGGGGTTATGAAATGTCAGGAGGTGGGGGCAGTGTCAGCCTTTCAGAGCACCAGGTCATGGCATCCTTCAAAGCAGAGCTGGTAGATCCTCAACGGGGTCAGCACGTGTTTAATAGGCATGGGGCAGCACATCTGTGAGCTCATTTCCTTCCATCCAGTGCTCCCATCTAGGAGCTGGCTGATGCCTGTGGGAAGGGCTGGTGGCAGGGGACTCCCTGTCAACCTTTGCTGTGGTGCCATTTGACGATCCATCAGAAAGCTCCCTGCGTTTGTCCAGTCTGTGCAGCCCATCCCACGTTTTGCCAGCATGTTTGAAATCCACAAACATTATTAACCTTTTGTATCTACGTGTGTATTTATTTTCAGATTCATTGCTCTCAGATTTCTTGCCACTTCCCTCCTCACGTGGGCTACTCCTCTTTTTTTTAAATTACTGGAGTAATGTCATCTTTCACAGCATTAGTCACTTGGATGCATCTCATTAGCATAAAACACTCTTTAAAAATAAGTTTCTAATTAAACCCCAATTTACCAGCTCTCTGCCATACAGTTTTCATTCAGACAGTTTATTTATTGGTTTTGCCATTTGGTTTCCTTGATAGCATTTGTTTTAATATGTCCCATTCTTTCTGAATTAACTGACTTGTTCTTCCTGTTTTAAAGCAACATATTTATATTGACACTTTATTAGAGAAAATTGTAACCTCTTACCAAGAGAGAGTGATTACCTCTTGTATTCTTAAAGTGCATTAAATTAATTTCACAGTGTAATTGAAACCAAGGCAGAGGGCTCATTAATGGTTCCTTATCTCCTGATACTCATTTCTTCTTTCTTTAAAATGTGAGTTCTTGCAAATGAAAGAATGGAACTATAATAATCATTATGAGGTACATTTTTATTTTTTTCCTTTTTTTTTTTCTGTGCATGCTGCCTGGGAACCATTTTGCTTGTTTTTAGCAGTAATAGGTAGACAAGAGGTGACCACGCGAAACCCGCCCAGCCTCTTGAGCACAGGTGATTATCAGTTCAGGAGAAGGAAAACTGGTCAACCTTCCAGAGGTCTGAGCAGCTTCATGACTTCTTGTTTCATATTTGTTTTGCATGGGAAAATACTTTAATAATTACTCCAATACAGTGTAAAAGGGGACAGTCCTCATATGTCACTCCTTCAGCTCCGAGGGGGATCTTGGCTTGTGCTGAGGGTCAGCTGGGGGGGCTCAAACCACTTAAATCTTCACAGGAGCACTTGAGTGTGGTGGAAGAGCCCCACAGATCCCCCTCTGCAGAGGTTGAATATCTCCCTGGGCGTGCATGGAGCTGAGCTGCATCTTCAGTTAAAGCAGCTCCAGAATTCGCTGGGGCTGATCTCACTTATTCTTTGAC